ACTCAGTCAGAAGGGCAAGTGCTGAAGTTTGCATTTATTTTGGTGGTGAAAACAGAAAGGGGGAAAGAAATCTCAAGGAGTGAGCAACCGAAGGCAAAGCTCCTCGGCATCAAGATTAAAGCAACAGTGTGCAAAAAGAAAACTACTCTGACAATGCACCAAGCTGAGAGAGGGTGTTTGTGAGCAGGGGCCTGGACTCAGCTGCATGGCTTTGTTCTGCAGAAGGTCTTATATATCATTTTAACTTCATCTCGTCCGTATTACTTAAACGTTTTCTTCTCCATAAAGAACTGATTTGAGAGACAAGCACATTTTAGCCAGTAGGCAAGTGGAAGGCCAGGCACTGCTGGTCAGCCAGTTTCCCTTTCACAGGACTTTTCCCTCCCTTCCTTATCCTATAATTGTTCATAAAAACAAAGACATATTTTCATTTAGCAAAATACCCATTGCTTGCCTTAGACTGGAGTAAGGAGGTTATTGCTGTGTCCAGCTAACCTCTTGCAGCAAAGAAAAAAATTGCAAATGTGGCCTTTATTCTGTGCATTTCCTGGAGGAAAGGAGACTGAACAGGAATTCAGATAAGAAAACTAATGCTGTTGCTGTTCTTCTTATTCTGTGAAGTAAATTAATGGGGCTAACAATGCACATTAGACATCCTATTCAGTAACATTTTTAGTACCCAGCTGAGTCCAAATATAAACTATAATGGCATATTGAGACTGTCTTAAGAGCCATTTCAAATCAATTTAGTTTTATATAGTGTCTCTCAAAGTATCTCAAGGTGATTTACAGTGAAAAAGAAAATAATGGGCTAGTGATTTAGTAGAGTAAGGCATGGCAGCTGTCAGGCAGGAAGGCAAAAATGCTGCACGGAGATGCAAAACTCTAATTTAAAAGCAGTACAAAGGTAAACATATCTCTTTGCTCTTCCAGTACAAGAAGTAGCCAGGTAATGAAGCCAGGCTGGGTTCAGTTTAACTCAACTGTTCCACAAAGCATGAAGGGCTTTTCCATTTACAGACTGAACTGGAACCTAAAACTGAACCATTCCCACTCAACTATTGAGATTAGGAAAAGCCAGGAAAGAAATATTTGTGACCAATTCATTTTAGCAGTTTTACCATCGTATTTCACAACCTCAGAAATTTTAGACTTCCTGTGGGTTGGACTTTTGCCCTACGGACTTATTAAGTCAAGAAGGCAGCTTTAAGCGCCTTTTTCATGGAAACTGTTAAAGCCTCTCTTGAAGAAGCGAGACTCCAGTCAAGCAACCTTGATCTTGCCAGTGTGGCAACTGTTGCACTGCTCCTGTTAAGCAAAGGCAACCTGCAGGTGGACTTCCCTTCAGATTACGGTACTGAAGTGGCAAATGCCTCGTTGGGTCTCTTCCTCTTAATGGACAAGACCCTCTCACCAGTGCCTGTCCCCACATAGCCCCCAAGGAGTAGCCAGCTCACAGCTGGACCTCCTCGGAGAAGCAGGTTAACAATTCTTCAGAGCGTTTTTCAAGGATGGGGGGGATGTCTTCAGCTACAAGACACCTCTTCTCTGGGTTTTCGCTCTCCTGCTCACCACACAAGTGAAGCTGCTAAGGAAGCCATGAAACCTCTTGTATTTTGGCATCCTAAAAAAAGTACTCTTTACATTTCCCTCCCATCAAATAGTTCAGAATGGCCTGTTGGATATGAGCGTTTGAACCAACTTTAGGCAAGAGACAGGGAATACTAATGTCTTCTTAGGTGGGGAGCGGCGTACATAGAATCACAGAACAGCTCAGGTTGGAAGGAACCTTGAAAGATCATCTGGTCCAACCTTTTGTGGGAAAGGGAGCCTAGACAATATTATCTAGCACCCTGTCCAATAGCACCTTGAAAACTTCCAGCGATGAGGGCTCTACTACATTCCTAGGGAGGTTGTTCCTACGTGCCACTTCTTCGAGAGGTCTAAACCACCCATTTTCCCTTCCAGGTGCCAGGACGCATTCAGACTTTGTCATCGCTGTTGCCTGTAGGCCAGTGAGATGGTGGAAGCCTGACCTGCTCATGCCGTCCCTGGCAACGACCACAACAAAAGGCTGCTGGACCGCTTCTCAACTTCCCCAGTGAGCACACAGGGGCTGTTCAGGAGGTTAAAGCTGCGAAGAGCCTGAATTGTGATTACTTGACAAAGTGCCTCCCCCCCTCAACCATCTTGGCAAGCGCTGAGCTTGTTTAGCTGCCTCGGGGCTGATGCAGAGCGTTCTCATGCAGAGCTTTCCACGTGGGAACTCGCTGCTACCACACGTTTGAGTTTGCGAACCGTGCGGTGTTGCACCATCTCGCAGACAGCGGCTGCGTAAGTCGCATGAGGCTGTAAGTACTGGTGTGATGTCTATTCATCTGGGAAAGTGTTTTCTTTTCCTTTTTGTGGTGCAAGTAGTATATGTTTTATTAAATAAAGTGCATGTTCCCTATGCAAATGAATGCTGACACATTGTATGTTAAATATGTATGACATTTAAAAATCTAAGCAAGAACTAAAAATCATTTATAAATATTAAAGAGCATGAAGTCTACTTTTTGTTTTCATTTTGCTTCTGAACCTGCACTCCGGGAAAAATACTCCTCACATTATAAGACTGAATTATCTGTCCAAGAACTAAACCTATAATTTTATTCTATCAGTCAAGCTGTATGTCACACTATTTTTATATCAAGACAATCAGGTTCTTTGAAGCACAGACACACACCTACTTAAAAGAAGCATTCCTCTGAAAGCAGAAGACTTTAGAATCAGCGGCAATTTGTATCTTTCAAGGGACTGATAACTAAATGGAGAAATGCAGTTCCTAATGAAAAGATGTTTCTTTGCTGACCAGGATGATATTCCATCAGGATATTTGGATCCAGATTCATCCATTTTGACTGCAAGCATCTAACCTGGCTTCGAATTACTGACTTCTAATGGCTTAAAATGTGTCCTTTGGAGATTCTTATTTCTCCTTCCTGACAAGAAAGGACAGTAGGCCATCTGAACTCCTAGCCTGAGCGCCTTAGTTAGGTATCTAAAAAGAAACGAAATTAATCCAGCCCTTCCTCTAGTTTTTTAAGTATTTGTTGTGTGGGAGTCCTGTTAGAAAATCTACTGTTCAATCCATTGCTATGGCACAGTCAACCTCACCTCTAGGAAGTATCTTCTGCTTCACAGGGCTTAAACATCCCTGTGGGAAGAAGCAGAAGTTTCCCCTGAAGAAAAAAAAGCACAGAGAGACCAATGCAGACATTAAAGCACCACCACCAGGGAGGCAATTTTAGATTACAAGTGAAGGAGCATATCTTTGTGCTCCCTTCTGCCCCAATACGTTAAGATAACTTGCAAATACCAATAAAGTTTCAGAACAGACTGTAAATATCCTGTGCCTGTTTTACATACTGAGAAACCAGGTACACAGGTCAAATATGAAGTGCAGAGCATGGCAGAGAATGGAAACTCCAGCTCTGGAGTCCCAGTAATTTCCCTTCCTGTAACACCACCATTTTTTCTCGATGAAGAAGCACCTGCTCTCAGATTGGTCTTCACCGCACATTCACTTACCTCACTAAACTATTTCATGCGCTTCTGCTGCACTACGGATGGCAGGAGTGCCACGGGACAGCAGTGAAAGGATTTGGCATCTGAAAACCTGCACCGAGACTGGCTGAACTGAAGCAGTACTATCCTTCTCTCATTTTACTAGCTCTGCGATCAGCAAAATGCCTTTCTCCATTTCCAGATGGGAACTGAAGCAGTGGGAAATATTTTCCCTCGGTATTTGTCCCTCGTTCCTCTGTTGACAGAAATTTTAAGACAAATGGCCATTTTGGTGGATTTAAAAAGCAGTGGAACTTCATGCCCCTAATGAATGGGCAGCGGGAACTCATACTGGCAGTGCTCAATGGCTGCACATGAAACTAGCCAGGCTCAGTAAATGAAACCAGATCCCAAAAATGCAGTCTGGAGATAACTGAAAGTATGCATTGAAATTTATTGTAGGAAAATGACTGACTGGAAAAAAAGTGGTCTGCTCTGCCCCTGCACCTCCAAAACATATTGTACCATTTAAACACTCTAGAAAGACATCTGCCAAAAACGCAATTAATTCTCCTGAAGGTCAAATGTATTTCTCCCGTAAAACCGTTGAAGCAGCAATTGTATGTCTTGATTACTCTTATGAAAGCGACTTAGGAAAAATCCTAGGATTGTTCTTGTGTTTGAAGTTGGATGTTTATTGCTTACTGGCAGTGACTTTTGTTGCAAAGGTTAAACGCGGTCAGCAAATGATCGTAACCCCCCCAAAAAAGGGTTAGTCCCAGTGCAGCCTGTCCAAAATCCCCGCAGCAGATCTGTAGTTCTGTTTGGAGTGCCACCCTGTGGACACAGCTGCTCCCATGAGCTCCTCTCCTTCCGACAACCCCGAGATGCAACGCTGAGGGACCAACAGCAGTGGACACAAGGAGAGGTGACAGCATCCCTCAGCTCCAAACCACACTGTCCCACGTCACTCTTACATGTCCCTGGCTACCCTGGGGCAAGTGGTGGTGGGGGACGAGTGGGAATTTTTGTACCAAAATACAGTGCCTGTTACCAAAGACCATTTTTGCCGGTGCTCTCTACACAACGGTATATGAAATGCCACCACCTCTTTGGAGCTGGGTAGGAAATAATTGTGGCATCTGTTGGTAACAGCTGAGGGCTGTGTAGAGCTTTGCACACCGAGAAGAGACCTGAGAAGCCCCCTGCTCATCCGCAGATGAATTAAGCCCCTGGTAAGCTCAAGTTCATCCTTAGAAGTCAATTTCTGGATTGGATTATAACTTTTTTTCTCTCCGACTGTTTGTATAAGACTTGCAGGTTTAGTCACTGGAGATTGCCACCATAAATTTTAGGAGTCTGGCTTACAAAGCCTGTAACAACCTAACCTTGTTTAGCAAAGGTGTGCCTTGCAGCATTCCTTCAGTAATGCCACTTTGGCTGCCCCTTACCTCTGGGGTGAGGTATTTCATCATGATTTCCTTTCCTTTCTCTCCCAGCTTTTCATCTGGAGCAATTTCATATTCTGCCTGGAACAGAAATAAAAAAAAAGTCAATATTTGCACTCATATTTCACCATTTTAACTTCGTTTTGGATGTGGCATTAACAGAACACTCTGTCTGAAAAATCTGAAGGATAAATACCATGTTCTGATGGCATTAAAACCCGTACACACAATCCTATTAAAAACCTTCCACTATATTTTGACCAAACTCTAGTGGTGCATTTTCTGAGATGATGTCTCTTAATTAACACCAATACAATTTAATGTATTTATATTTTATAGCCTTGCCAAGCCAGCTTTCAGAAAGCATTCAGTGACAAGAGACAACAACTTAATTTGGTTTTGCTCAAAGGGAAGGCGGACACAGAAGGTAAAATGACTTCTCCGAGTAGTAAAGAAAGTGAATGTTTGTTAATTCTTGCCACAGTGGTATTTCAAGTACCAGGTGAACTCCTCCTTTTTGGTTAAATGTGTCTTTCCTATTTATTTATGTCTTCCCCTTGGTCTAACAATACTTCTGCAAAGCAGAGAGACTTGCCCATCACTTCTTTTAGTGATCCTTAACTCAGTCCCTCCAGGAGGCAGATATAAGAGCCAATTTCTTAGGCAGATTTGTTAGGGCCAAGATAAAACAAGAGACACCATTTATAGGAATAGACACTATAGGCAAAATTCTCTTTGACTTCCCTGGTGCCTTAAAAAAGAGAGCACCACATTCCCCCGTGCAAAATTTACCTACATTTTAAAATTCTGACTGTTCTATGTATTGTAGCATTACTGACTTTTGATGAGTTTCAGGACAACATTTACATAAGAAACAAAAGAAGCATTACTTGTGCACCACAAAGACATTAATCACTTCAGTTAAAGTTTTGGATCTACGGCAGGCATTCGAAGGAAACACGCGCCGCATGGGAACCCAGTGACTAAACGACAATGACAAGTTCTTAGAGACATTCCCTCTTGGCACTGCCCAGGATATGAAGCTTTAGCCTTAGGATCAAAATATTTTCCAGAAAAAAAAAAAAAAGACAGCCTAACAGCTTTCATGACTGTTTATATTAAAAAAAAGGATCCCAGAAAATTCTGCCAAACCAATTAAGTAACCTGGTCCAATACAAGCTGTCTGCGATGATAAATGAGGGGGAAGCTAGGAAAAAAAAAAAAAAGAAGAAGAAGGTAAATCAGACTGAACTGGCAAACACTTGGAAGAACAAATTTCAGAACTATTGCCCACTGGAAGGCGTATGCACTGCTCCAAGCTTGATGCAATAAATCCGAAGGCAGGCTGTAATGGATACCCTAGCTAAGCAGACCTACGAATGACATGAAAACCACAATGTAGTAATAATGCTATTATCCATCTATCTGGCCACTGCTGATTTAGCTATTGCAGCTTAAGTCTGAAGCTACATATTTATACACATACATAGCAGGTTGCTTGAACAATCTAGAATTACAATCTGATTTGGTTTGGGAAATGACAATGACCGCAAATAACAGAGAAACCTGTATTATTTATGAAAAATACACCAAAAGCTAAAATCCACAAGTGCAGTACTTCTCTTTTAGTGATCATTTTAGGGATGAACTGATTACGTTCTCATAAAACTTAATACAAGGGTTTAAAAAAATCTTTCATCCAATTTCCTGTCCTTTTAGATGGTATCTGAATATGGGTCATTTCAGCTCTTAAAGCACAGACACTCTCGAACGTTTACAGCATCTTAACAGCATTTTTCTCCATGATTCCTTGCTAGGGGATAAAACAATGGCAAGAAAGAGTAACAGAAGGAACTATTTTTTTAAAGGTGAAAGTTGCATCTTCTTTGGACCTTACTGTTTATGTTTAGGTTCACAGACAAACTAGGTGTTTTTCATATAAAAGAAAACAGAAATAATGTATTTTAATAAAAGAAAATAATTGTACTTAAATGTAACTGTCTGTGCAGAAGACTGCAAAGAAAGGAGAACTCCTTGGCATTGTCTCAGCATGGAAGTGTCTAGGAGATCTCCTGAGTCCTCCATTCAATGCTATTTACAATTAATCCAATAATGACCATTTCTCTCTCCTTCATTTGCTTTTAGACTCTGGAACCTGGTAATATATTGGCTCCCTAGTGAAAAAAAAAACCCTGATTCAAAGTCATCATCTGCCATTTGAAGTGCACCAGGGAGATGTCAAAAAATTTGGTGTCCTTTTTGCCACAGATTACATTTACATCCCATCCAAATTGTACAACAGGAAGCAAATTAGGACAGACCAGAAGACAGAAGTTTAGCAGGAATAGGATCAGTGTTTTGAAATGCAGTTCCTGATGGGATCCAACATATGCAGAGCTAAATGCACACACGCACACATATACACAGTGTATCTAATTCTATCTCAGGATAGTTGGGAAGGAATAAAAGGAAAGTTTAATTATACTTGCATTTGACATCCTCAGAAAATGCGACGCTGTGGTGGTGAAGGTAGGAAGTGACAGACAACTGAGGATGTGAGAAGGAACCATAAGCTCCAACTGTGAACAGTGCTGATTTCACTGTAGCTCAAGTACTAGAAGCCCATTTCATTTTGTTTCTAAGTTCATTATTACTTCTCCCTTCAGTGCCACTTTCGAGCTATTTGGCAACAGATATCCGGTACATTTTCAGCCATGGGCTGTTATTGCAGGAAGAATTACTCGTGTAGAGAGACAGAGTGACTTCCCCATGCTCACTCTGCCGCGTGCCTGGGAAGCATATCAAGGTCCTCAACTCTCAATCTTGTATTTAAATCACAAGATACATCCCCTTCTTCCACAATACTCAAAGGCATGGCTACAGTTTGCAAATCCCTAATTGCTAGAAATAATATCGTTACTTAAAATCCATGTGGAACAAAATATTTTCCATTATTCCTTTGATGAATCCAGGCATGTGTTTCAAGGCTCTTGCTCTGAAGTCTAATAGCTTCTCCATGCCCTAGTTAGGTCAGACAGGGCCCTATTCATAGCTCATAAATGAGGGGAGGATTTACGATCACCCTGACTGCATGGGACGAGCTGCAGGCAAGGCTCTTTCTGCGGGCAGGCGTGGATCCTTCAGTCCAAATGGCGAGAGGATGTGGGCTGGCTGCTGTTTGTTGCTAACTTTTCTTTTGGCTGCTGTTTCGGAGGTAGTAGTTACTTCAGTGGCTCCCCTTTCCCTAGAAGCAACCCTGGCTGAATGGGGGCATGGGGGGGTGCAAAAAGTCCTTCCCTTCGGAGCAGCCGCCCTCGGGATGGGCTGAGCGAGATCGGATGGGAAAACGCACTTCCACTGGGAAAGGGAGCAAGGTCCAGCCTGTGGCTGGCTGTGAGACAGGGCCCTGAGCTCATGGATGGTCGAGCAAGAGATTTGGGAGCTGGAGGGTGCCTGTGACCGACGGAGAGCATCACTGGGGCAATGGCACAGGGACCCAGCAGGGGCTCGCATCGGCAACCTTAATTCTGACACATCGTTTTATCCAGTGTTTGATTTTCATCTTAATATTCTTTGAGTTCCTGAAATTGTATGGCTTAAAAATATGTGAAAATTGAAAAAACGGAGCCAAAGGGATCTCTCTGCAGATCTGGAAGGACTCTCTCCCAGGGCACGTAGCTGCTGATTGCCTGCGGGAGCGTGGCACGGCCGCAGGAGTTGGACCCTCGCACCCACCCGGAGATGGACACAGACACTCCCACCAGAGCAGTTTCAGCTTCTTGGTGTAAATCAGGAGCAGCGGAGTCACCTTCTGAGCATCTGCAGGAGGCTACTGGCGTTTCGGTCCCAATTTTACACCTCTGCTTTCTCAGCTCCCTCCTCTGTTATCCCCAGTATCTCTCTCTGCTCCAGCTCCTGCTCACTCCTTCCTCGGAGTCCAGGCTCTGCCCTGTTACTGCTCTGCGCTCCAGCGACTGCCCTTACACTTGCCTCCGCTGGAGATTTAAAATCTGTGACTGAAAATTGGAAAGCAAACCCCAAACAGCTGGGATTCATAATAACTCGCATTTCTAAATGAAAAGTGAACTTGAAACCACATTTTTCTATTTAAACGCAGGGCAAAAAGAGCCCTTTTGGCTGTTTAAAAACACATTTTGAGTTAATGAGTTTGTTGATATCAACAAACTGGCATTTCTGATGGAAAAAGCCTTGAACAGCTTTAAGACACACATACACAGATGGTTTATATACCATGTAAGGGACTTAACCAAACGAAATCTCCCTAACAGTGAGACAGGGTTTTTACAAATGGCATTAAATGGATGCTCGCTCATCCTTTTACCCCAGATAAGTGTAATGTCTAGTGAAGCGTTCAGCTGAAAAGTCCACCCGAGGGGATCGTGCCTCTCACCCCTGGCCCCCGTGCCTGGATAGCACAACCAGAAACAACCTGGAGAGGCAGCGGGGCTATTTTCCTCCAGGGGATGTATTTCTGTGCGACTGCAATGCAAAGAAATAACATCATACAGGTCAGAGAGGAAACAATGTCAGGTTATTTTCTCCTTGACCAGAATTAACCATATTCTCCTCCAGTCAATCTAAGTCTGGTCCACATAAAAATGCTAAAAGCCCTCCCCTGGAAAAAAAAAAAAAAGAAAAAAAAATTATGAATGTGAATAGATGAAGCAGGAAAGGGACTCCAGAAGCTAAAGTCTTCCTTATAACAGCACACAAAAATCACAGGAGAGGAGAGGGGAACATGAAACGTCAGGAGCCAGCACCCTGGGAATGTGCTGTTGAGAAGGGGACAAGGGCAAGAGGTCCCCACTGAACTGCTGCCTTCTTGTGCTGGAGGCACGGGCTGCAGGGAAGGAAACGTGTCTTGCTAGCAGATTCCCTGCTCACTGATCTGCCTTTCAGCACAGGAAAAGTATCCCCTAACACTTTATTTTAATGGCTATCTTTCAACAGCTCCGAAGTCGTATGATGTTGCTAAAATATTTGTAAGCACAGCAAAGCATGCTTTAGGGCTGTGCGTGATTTCTTTGTTAAGGGCTTATAGGGGAGCTGATTTAATCATAAACCATCTCCGTTTAACGATAATAGTTTATGTTCGCATAGTTCCTTCATCTGAATGGCTACGTAAGGGTTTGGTGAACTATTCATGGGAGCTCTTTGTGTTTACATGCACACAGATAAGCACGCAATGCATTCAGAGGCACAAGCTGCAGCCATCGGTACTTCTTACTAGATATTTTATCAAGTCAGGACCTCTGTCATGAAACTGTTTATACAATATCCATAATAAGAGATGGCTCTCTGTCCTTATAGCCTTACTGTACTAGCTAGGAGAAGGGGTTGCTGTTGCCCCGTTTCCCAGCCAGCCAGCCACGCTGATGGCCGCTTACACTCCGCAGCAGTGGTGGGAACCAAAACCCACAGCTCCACCAGCACTGTGCTGCAAAGCTCTGCATCTCTTCATTTTTATCGCTTTTATCATTTAATGTTGGGGCCTACTGCTTACAAAGCACATATCTTTGTAGTCCATTTTACAATTGATAAATTGTGGCTAATCACCCAAACACTGTTCTCAGAAAACATGTAGAAACTTTATGCCTCTGAGCACTTTAATCTCAATTATTGGTTGAAATTGGCCAAGGTATTCACAAGTTTTAGAGGGAACTGACAGATATATACCTACACGGATGCAGAATTTAATGATACACATCCTTTTTTCTTCAGAAAATAGCCAAACAACTGTTTAACTGTACAGACAAAAAACCCCAGATGCTGCTGCAATTAGATTTGCAGGAGACTACATCAGACGAGGTTAGTTATTGCACCCAACAGTTGAAATAAATATCCAGCAAAGAGAGGATCTTTTTTTTTCTCTTTATGTATTCTGGTCTGCTAGGTCTGGTTGATTTTAACAGTCTTTGAAAGCAAAGGTGTGAGAGAGAGCTTGCAAAACTTAGTCTCACTTAAGTATGGGAATGGAGGTTGTTGGTAGGCTGTTGAGTGTCTGACTCAGCTTCTGGTTTCCTCCCAGGAGCCCTGATCGCTGCTTTCTTTGCAGACAGTTGAGTGCACTGGTTAAAAACGTGTATTAAAAAGTGGGAGGCATCAATTACTGGCTTCTACCAACGACTTACTGTGTCACCTGGTAAAGTCACTTAGCTGTGCTCTGTAAAAAAGAGGTGGTCCTACCCCTCAATGTGCAAAAGCTCCGTGAGCCTCTCATGAACAGCTAAATATTTTCCTCTGTTATTTTTTTCTTTTTATTTGATATTACACAAAAGCTAAGTTTTGCATCTCATGTTAGAAAAATAACTAAGTCAAAAGAAAACAGAGACTTCTGGCTTTTTCTGCTCGGGGCTTGTTACAGCAGGTGGTCTCCAAAAGGTTTCACATTCCTGGTGGTCTCAGAATAGAGCTGTAAAGTCAAACTTCTGGTTTCATTATAGGACTTTTTTTGCCTAACGTAGGGCTTGGCCTGAATCCCACTCCTCAACGCAGTGTGACCCTGCTGGGCGAATTTCAGTAGCAATCATCCAATTTAATGGCTATGGTCTGTGTTGACAAGAAGCTCAACATGTCCCAGCCATGTGTGCTCGCAGAAAGCCAACCATATCCTGGGCTGCATCAAGAGAAGCGTGACCAGCAGGTCGAGGGAGGGGATTCTGCCCCTCTACTCTGCTCTCATGAGACCCCTCCTGCAGTACTGCCTTCAGCTCTGGGGTCCCCAACATCAGAAGGACATGGACCTGTTGACGTGAGTCCATAGGAGGGCCACGAAGATGATCAGAGGGCTGGAGCACCTCTCCTACGAGGACAGGCTGAGAGAGTTGGGGTTGTTCAGCCTGGAGAAGAGAAGGCTCCGGGGAGACCTTAGAGCAGCCTTCCAGTACCTAAAGGGGGGGCTACAAGAGAGATGGGGAGGGACGTTTTACAAGGGCATGTAGTGATAGGACAAGGGGTAATGGCTTTACACTGAAAGAGGGCAGATTTAGATTAGGTATTAGGAAGAAATTCTTTATTGTGAGGGTGGTGAAGCACTGGCACAGGTTGCCCAGAGAAGCTGTGGCTGCCCCATCCCTGGCAGTGTTCAAGGCCAGGTTGGATGGGGCTTGGAGCAACCTGGTCTAGTGGAAGGTGTCCCTGCCCATGGCAGGGGGTTGGAACTAGATGATCTTTAAGGTCCCACCCCAAACCATTCTATGATTCTATATGATTCTATGTGTTGCTCAACCTTAATATCGCCTAATACAGGGATTTTCATGGGCTGGGAGCAAGCTTGTACAGAATTTGAAATCAATAAACACAGAAGACTGCTGTTAATTAGCATTAAAAAGAAGAGAGAAAGAGTAAATATTCAGAACTTCACACAGCCAGGGATTTTGTTCGTGAAATCCTCATACTGCCAGTCTGAGCCTAACCGGGAAGAGATTCCTGGCCCAGTAAAGGTATGCAGGGCAGTTCCAGTCTGCAAAAGCAACCTGGGAGTGGGTGCAAAGCACACCCTTGCAAAAGGATTTGGGGATATCTGTCTGGGATTGCTCAGAGAGGGAGATTTAAAACAATGCCAGTCCCACCACAAGCCTTCGCAGGACCCGTGTCGCCTATGCTGCAGGGATGGTGGGAGGACACGGAATTTCAGCGCTTGGCACCACTCCACGGGTCTTCGGGAGAATGAAGTGACACAGTGCCCTCGATTCCCGCAGCCGGAGGTGGGCTGGGCAGCTGGTGCTGCTGGGAGAGGCTGGGAGAGGCTCCGGGACTCCCCAGACGAGTGCCTGATGTTTCATCAGCGGCAGACACCTCACTAGACAATGCCGGTTCGGTGCAGGACAAACACATCCAGGGTACCCGAAATGTCCTCCTGCCCGACGGCCTTGAGCACAGCTGCACACAGCGTTTGTCAGATATAGCAGTTTCATGTACCTCGATGCCTAAACCCTTCACTGGGGAAAAAACACGACCAGTGCTAGGAATATCAGGTAGAAGTTGTGACCAGCTAAAACTGATTTGAATAGGACTTTATCCAACACTTTCTGTGATGCTGTAGATTTGCTGTAGATATGGCAGTACTAACATAAACTTTAAGTGACCACGTGTCCTCTCCCAGACTCTTACTTTAATCACTTCAGTGCAATCCTCACATTTCCCTATATTTCAGAATAGCTTCACCATAGTACAAACAGAAGAAATTTATTCCTGTTAGTATGCATCATTTTGCTTTCGACTGTCAGTGTTAGCCAGAGAGCGAAGCCCCCCAGACACTCACACTCAGCAGTGACAAGTTCATCTTCCTCTCTGGTATGATTTAGCCTTTTGGCTCATCAACACCCGACCATTCCACGGGCTCCCAGAAATAAAGCCACTGAGAGACTTTTCCACCGTGAACAGCTTCTCCTGCTGGCACTACACACGGCCAAGCACTGCCAGACTGGGAAAGAGCGTCAGGTCCCCCTGGGGCTGGGGGGTATTGCTCAGTGGCCGGCTTAACTGAAAGCTCACTGGGATGGAAAATGGAGCAGATTTTGTTCTTGATGACCTTAACCAAGTCACTTCTAAACCTTGTGCCTCTGTTCTCCTATTTGAAAGACCAGGATAACAATCAGGATGTCCTTTATAAATCACCCTGAAGTCTACCGACAAAAAGGCTTGGTAAGAGATAGATATTAGCATTATCAAACTCCTCATCCTCTCTTGTCAGTCCATTCATCATCTTCCCTTTCCTCCCAGCGCCTCCCAGCATTGCAGGCTTCACCCACATTAAAAGACATCACTCGGCGCAGCTCAGCTGCTGGGGCATTGACGTGGAGGGAGGCTATGCCAGCACCGTGCCGGGATGCCTGTCCTTCTCCCGCGCCGGTGGCTCGTGCACCCCGAAGCTGGTACCAAGCCCCGTGCAGTGCTGCCCCTCGACCATCGATGATGCTGGGATGGTGACGGGGTCAACCCTGTCTGCTGTTTGCTCAGGTGCTAAAGACACACAATCACATCCCACAAAACAGTGATTTCTCGGGGTCGGGGGAGTCTCCTCTGTCAGGAGAGCACTGCGAAGCACCTCAAAATATCACAAGAATTGACTTACCACCGAGTCAAGGAACCTAATGCAGCACTCGAGCTCAGGTCGAGTTTCACAGAACTGCCGAAAGAGAAGCCTTCCGATCGGCTGCTTTTCACATATGCTGCAGTAATCTCTCTCTAGAGGCAACAAAGAGAAGAAGAGAAGCATGAAAATGAGAAGAGCTATGCCTTTTGGGTTGGTTAGGAGTTTAAAGCATTGCAAGTGAGTGCAGAACTACAACCCCAAATCAGAACTGCTGCCTTCTCCCCACCACCATGTTTCAGGTATCCAAATACTAAGACTCAAACGAGAGAGGCTCAATTTTATAGAGCTGATGTTGGTAAAAGTCCCGCAAAAGCCATTCAGCTATTATGAAAAAATAATTTCACATTTTTCTGTGGTGGAAATATATGCACTCTGCAAAGGTACCGCTCAGACTGGTGGTGTTTGTGGGAATGTGGGGAGCAAATTACAAGTCCTTGAAACGTGAGTCATACATTAAAGGGTAGGAGAAGCTGGAATTTGTGGAGACCTTCCTGGATGCTTCCTAGATATGCACTAAAGTGCCCCTAATCTCTGGAAATACTCAACCCACTCTCTACTAAACAATTATTGCAAACTATGTATTTTCAAAGGTTTCAAAATTTCTGCTTTTTACTTGCTGAGCATTAACGAATAGATGGAACATATGGCATCTAGCTGGTTTCAGTTTCACACAGCACTCCTTTACAGAACTCTATTTCCCCTTAAACACCATGTTTAAATGCCGTTCCCCTGTGCTGGTGCATCCAGAACCATCACGCCCAATAAAGCGAAACATCCTTTACCCATCACAGGGACAACCTGCAGGAAAACATGGGAGAAGGGCAGGCACCATTAACTGGCATTGCACCAGTACAAATGCCAAGGGCTTTGGATATTTTTCTGGTGAGAGCAGCAAATCCCCCAGCCTGTTTGGAGCAGCAGTACTTGCTCGAGACACATTCCTCTAGAAGCACACACATGTCAAACAACATACTGTGTTTCCTTGAGCGTTCGTCTCGCCACCCTCCTCGCTGCCATATGGCACTTGCTGTTATTATGGAAACAACCAGCTTCTAAACACATAACACAGCACTGCAAACAGACATACGAAACCCACACAAGTTGTCAGTGCCTCGGTTACTTCTCTCTCAGGCCTGGAATCGCTCCTGCGATGTCTTTTTATTTCCCCCTTTGCTTTGGCCTCCTGCACCCTTCCGCTCCATCCACCCCAAGGAGAACATCTGCAGGCACATCTGCAGTAGGAGCTCGCCTTGGCCACGCAGGCACCCAGCCGAAGGGCTCTCTCAGCACGGGTCGCACCCTGGGGACCATGTGTTGCAAAACCAGGACATCCCTCCTGAATGGAAAATGCTGTGTGAGATGTTGGACGTGCTGACCTGTCGCTGGGTGGGCAGGAGCACCCAAGGGTGTATCTCGTAAGAGGAAGGAGGGTGCTTGCCCAGCGCTGCGCCTGTGTGCAGGTATGGCTTTGCTTCAGGAACCGGTCCCTGAAGCACCTACAGGGTGGTCGCTGGAGACATGGGTTGGGGCTAGCTGGACTGTGCTTTTAATTCAGTATGGTCCTGCTCTGGTCTGGTCTTCTGAAGCAGTCTGGAACAACGTACCAGCACCACTTTGTGGCTGGCATTGCCGGTCCATTTTGGATCAGGGTAACACTGAATCTATCCAGAAGATAATGTTTTGATACCCTCCCGCAAATAAAACTGGATTGAAATCACTGGGTAAATCCTACCCTGACCTCCAGTCTATCTAATTATCAGCAGCAAGCCCATGGCACTGGTTTGTTTGCATGAGCTGGAGCCTCCAGCGTGGAACATCACGACACAGACACGTACGGCTTGCTTGGATGCTGAGCAGCCTTGGGACCGTCCTTGCGAGAGGTACAAGTTTGTGCTGCTTGACTGAGTAGCTTTTTTAGTGAGAAGGTAATTGCTGAAGGGATGTGCAGACACGCACAGGGCTAAGGTAAGCAAAGGAGTTGGGAAAGAGCCTGAGTGGATCAAAACAGCAACTCGCAATGCCCCAGAGGCCGGCATGAAGCCAGAGGCTGAGCAGCTCAGGGAGGTCTGCAGGTTGAACTACACCTGTCTGACGCCGTTTTCTGCTACCTTGACTAATTCACTCTTCTGAGGGTATGAATAAAATATACATCCTGAATATCGGTAGCACACAGCCCGCCTGATGGCAGGACTCAAACCCTCCAGAAGCCCAAACCCACAGCAAGCTTCCTCATGTTAAACAGGCAGTGCAAAAAATGCGACTGTCTGAATTTGTAACAGAATGAACCACAAAGGAACAAATACATTAATCAGCTAGTTTGCCCTATATTTTCTCTTGTACGGTGCTATTTGATGCACGGTGACAACGCTTGCTGTACAAAATGCAGTTAGTTTATCAAAGTTGTTATGATATGGTGACACTCGCTGTTGGAGAGGATGCTTTTCTAACAAAAGGGCTACTGATACCAGCTAAATAAGTGTGCAAATTGCACATCCAATAACTGTACTTTACAGCATAACAGGAAAAGAAAACAAGCAGCTAAATACTATTACATGTGTGCATAAATGAAACATAAAGAAAAGATGAGCACAGACTTCCTCCTATGGTACATAACTTGGCCAACATGTGAGAAGGGTGACCCGTTCATAATGAGGAAAAAGGAAATACCAGAAATAATCTCTGAAAACACAAGAGTTCCCTGGAGCCATCCACTCCTCGGTCATGTTCGTTTAAGTGCTGGATATACCAATACAGACAATAAATACATGATGCAACTGCTTTCATTCCTTGTAGGTGACACAAAATATTTTCTTAGGCCCTGATCTTGCCATTGGCCTCAGTAAGTCTGCTAAAGGAGTCTGCTCTCAACTCCTGCTTGGGATGCACGGGCCCTGGAGTGGCCTAAGAAAGAAAAACACCTCTCAGCTAAGGCGGAAAAAAAAAAAAGGAGTGGGTAGTTTTATTACAGCAAGGAAAGCAGAAGTGTTTTAACAGTGTGGTGCACCCCGGAGACCTGGCTGAAGCCCCCCGAGCTGTGCTGACGAGCTGCTGCTGAGGGCAGGGGATGGGGAGCCAGGCGGGTACCGCAGCCAGGGGCTGCCTTGGGCTGGGGCTAATCGTCGTGTCGCCCTGGGTCCGCCTGCCAGTAAAAATATCCATCCAGTTTCAAAAGTTTAAAAAATAGAAAGAATGATTTCCTGAGGAAATGGAAATGTTAAACACTTGGAAGTGAAACCATATGCTTATGATGATGAAATGTAACTGAAACAGCTCTGAGAGCGATATCTTGGGTAGTCAGACTCTCCTGCTTCAGCGCAGTCCTGTTTAACACCTGCAAAATCACCCAAGACGGCGGTGAAAAGCCGGGTGGGTCAAAGCCCCAGGAAAGCAGTCACCTCTTACTGATGCCAAACTCGATTTAGAAAATATCCCTGGCAAATCATGTGCACATGCAAGTGAATTCTTTATCTTCCTAACAGAGTAACGATACAGATTAATATAGAAAAGGTATTACATAAAATGAGATCATAAACATTCATAAGATAAATAAAGATAAATAACATTTATTCTAAATTCTACTGACTCTTTTTTCCCTTTACTATGTAGCTTATGTATTGAAATACTTCTTTAAAGAGCACCCAGCACACAGAACATACCAAAACAGTTACACCTGCATACAGATAACACCATCACCATTCAAAGTCTGTGGCCTAATTTTTTCCCCAACAGATACTCTGGTAAGGTTCTGAAAAAGATATAAGCACACGCCTAAGAAAAATGGTCCTATTAATAAAATTTCATACTGATCAAAACATGCCATTGATGAAGTGAAAAACACAAACCAAGGTGATAAAGAAAGCTGCTGCTGATAAAATCCCTGACTTTCAAGAAAAAGGGGAAGAAAATCTAATATTTTAATTAGATAAAAACCTCCCTGTGCCTTGTGAAGATTTTTTGCTCTTAATTTCCCATTTAAATACCTAGCATTTTTTTGCCGGCTCAAAATACCACCTTAGCAATTTTGGAGAGAAACAGTGGTCTGCAGAGAAACTGAGTCCCCCCTCCTTGTTCACATTTGCAATATATCTGTGGGTTTTGATGGGTTAGTGGTGAGCTACAAAACTGGGTGATGACTCTTGGCTGAAAATCAGTCTTTTCTGATATTGCTTCATTCAGTGCAAACTGCAGGTGTCTAAGTGAGACTGACTGCTATGGAAAGTTGTACTTCTGTTTCTGGGCAGAAGCCCTCGTTTTGAAGGGCTACTAATCCAACACCTGCAATCAGGTGGTGAGAATTCCTCCTGTAGATGTCTGTGGGGCGGGATGAACTCAGTTTAAATCTCACTTTTCATGTCTGCAAAAGCCAGGAACACCTTTTTGGCTTTTTGGTCATTACTGGTGTGGCCAATGATTGCACTTACATACTATCTATTAAGTAGCATTTTATTTTCCAACATACTGGAATCCCAAGAGAAGATATTTCAAAGAAATGCATGGAGAATCACCAAGAAGACATGCACCATGCTGCTGCATGGGAAAGTTTGGACTTGGCCTCTGGATCTCTGCTCTCCTTGGCGTTATATCAGCCTGGATTAAAACCGAGTAAGATCCAAATTCAATGCAATTCTGCTGCCTAAAAAAACCTGCACACCCCCCCCCCCCCAAACCCAAACCAAAAAAACCTTTCTTAACACCTGGAAACCCCAAAGTGGATGTAGGAAGAATTAATTGTTGTTTTCCTACTCATGCTCAATGACCCAAGATGAGAACTCATCTTCCTTTCCCAATTTTTTTTCCTTATGGTGAACCAAAATCTTTCAAACGGACATTGTTCCAAGTCTATTATTTGTCTGCTGCTCTCTTCCTCTAGCCTGCTTTAGTCCAGAACAACAAAAAGCACAACAAACTCATGGAAGAAAGCATTCGAACACGAAGGAACCCTCAGTCGCTACGCCCAAGCTGGACAACACAGAGTAGCATCAGAGCCAGAAGGAGCTAGCAGTCGGTTCGTTAAGACTGTTCGCACACCAGAAGTAAAACTTCCTTTTTCCAAGGGGCTGAGTCCTGTCAAAGATTCCCACCAGCCCTGGGA